ACAACCCTTTAAATCTATTTCTATTACCATTCTTCTCTGATGCAACAAAACCTCCTTTGAAGGGTGTGCAACCCAAACATCGTCGAGGTAATTTCCACAAAAAATTCCCTGTGCCCTCCAACTTCCAATCATTGCTCTCATGACCTTCGCAAAAATCTAAGGGGACTGGCTTAAACCGAATGGAAGCACTTTGTAATAAAACCATTTCTCTTCGAAAACAAAACCCAAAAAACGCTGAGCTACATCGTCCATCATTAAATGGTAATAACCTTCCTTCAGGTCGAAGGTTAAAACCCACCAACTCTTGCCGATAGTCCTTAACATCGTTCCCAACCCCTCAAACTTGAAAGACTTTTTGGGAGAGACCTGTTCAACCTCCTGAGGTCTATGACCAATCTGAACCTTTTGGGACCCTGCTTCGGAACTACAAACACTGGGCTGACCTCCAACAAATACTCCGGTCTTTTCTTCCCTTGCGCTACCAACTCATTCCAATGCTCTTTAAACGTAGCTGGATACGAAAATGTTCCTTGCCCCAAATTACACCAACTTGGTTGAAAACACGGTTGGGGTTGCACAAAAGTAGGTACAAACATATTCGGAACCTGAGTCTGAGACTGTCATTGACGACCATTTACTGACTGTTTCGGTTCATAAGATGTTCTAGGGCGCTTACTTCTAAAAAACTGCTGCGCCGCCAATCTTGCTCTTTCACGCTTTTCTCCAAACAACTCCGACATTGGATCCAATATTTCACTCGCTGCCATTTTTGCAGCCACACTCCATCCATCTTCATCCGCCACTCTAACCACATAAGCCCTCTCCAGTGCCACCTGACTTGCCAAATACACGTATTCAACCTCACCAGAAAATAAAGCCTTGTCCAATAATGCCCCAGCTTTGCACCATTCATTATATTCCCACTGATTTCTGGCCTTAGACAGATCACGCTTTTTCCAAAAACCTTCTTGAAACCCCCAACCAGAAGACATTTCATTTGCAGCAGAAGGCAACCGCGGAGGCACAAAATCACTAGAAGACTTGGATCTCGAACCCACATCAACCGATGGAACATTACCAAACCCGTCAGAAAAAGCCTCAACATTAGACTTGTTACAATCATCCAAAGACGGTTTTAAACACTTGTCCGACTCAACTCTTTTCCCTTTTCCTGAGTTATCTAAACCACTTAATTCACACCTCTTTTTAGCCTCACTAGCTAAACGATTAACCAAATCCTGCTTAACACCCGCCTCCGAAATATCCAGTTCGTGACACAGAAACCTCAACAGATCCATAGATAAACGGCCAAAATTGGTTTCAAAATTAGTCTGGCCACACTTGTGAGATGGTTCAACATCACTACTATTCGAAGACGATGCTTCATCCTCAACCGTAACTAACTTATCTTTATTTTGGCTCATAGTGTAAGGATAAAATTTTAAGGTTATACTTGCTCGATATAACCAGAACGAATGTCGGGTTCGCAGAAGAAAAAAGACTATTTTCCTCATGCACCGTACCAAATGCTCATATACCAGAAAACTAATTCATTACCTCATACTTACTCAACTAATTCCCATTACCTCATACTTACTCAACTAATTTCCTAGACTTTCCCATTACCTCATTTCAGACGTACTCGTAAGAATTACTTCATACTTACCTAACATCACTGGTCGATCAACTGATCGACCATTAGACCGAACATAATCGGGCATGTCACATGTTCGGTCTTGTGATGATTCGAGACAAAAGCTGCCTCGATACTTACGTATCGAGCAGCTTTAAACAAAATCGGATCCAAACTCTAATTCATCTGATCAGGGCTGTGTAAGTACGTACGTACGTACGCACAGCGTGCACTTATTTGTGCGAGTGATACAAATCCAAAAAGGGAAATTAGCCAATCGGAGAACGTAAAATGTGATTAT